ACAGGTGCTTTTGATTTTTGTATACTGCCCGTATATTACACGTGATGGTCAAATTAATGATTCTTCTCATTTTGTTTTCATTCATTTACTGCAATTATTAGAATTTTGAAGGAATTTTTATTATTGCATAGAAATATAAATTACTTATCTATATACATAAATATAATTAAATATAGGTTAACAATTTTAAATTTATTTAATAAATCTGAAAAATGTAAACTTGTGATGGATGATAGCATTTTTTTTTTTAAGTATACTCAAGCAAGCATATGTTCGCTTGCCTTCTTTAATAAAATTTTTTAAATAAATGAAAAATGTTTTGTTTGTTTGTTAGGTCAGAGCTTCAACTTCGAAAGAGCTCTATTAGTATTACATTATAAAAGAAGCCAAAAAAAAATATAAAAAAAAATAAAAAACTATTAAATACTATAAGCGTCTTTTAAATAAAATGAAAATATATATAAATAGAAAAAAAAAAAATAAAAATAAATAAAAAAATAAATAAACAAATAAATGTATAAATAAGAGTAACTCATGAAAAGTGATGATGATGATTCTTGTAAATTGTATTTGAATCTGCGTCCGATTTGGGTGTATCAGCTTCCCACCAATCGATATTATCAATCATGCTCTCATCCGATAAGATTGGATTGTTATGCGTGGAATCCAGAAGGACTTCGGTAAGCTCTTTCTTTAGAGTGATTACCTCTTCGTAAAAAGAATTGCTTGGTTCGTTACTATAGAATGATGGAAGATCATGGACATTGGAAGCTGACGGATTGATTGTGGCATGATCTACGGGTGGAGATATTGAGAGCGTTCCTGGACTTAAATATAATTGTTGTTGTTGATGATGTTGAGAATTTGATGTTTGATAGATTAACGCACTACTATTAGGACTGATAGCAGTATTTGTTAGTGTTGGTAGTGTAGGAGCATCATTGTATTCCTGTTTAATTATGTGCGTCATACGAATTGTGGCTGGTGGTTGCATAAATGTTTGCTGAGACTGTTGATTGCCGGCACACGCTTGTCTTAAGCAAAGTTGTTGTTCATTAGCGGCAGGTGATAATTCTGGTGGTTGAGCTGTTATTGTTACTGGTGTTGCTGTTCTTGTTATTGTTTTTGTTGTTGCTCGATGTAATGATGAACTTGCATTTGCACTTGGGGTTGGTGAACATGATGATGTTGATGATGATGATGTTGATGATGTTGATGATGATGACGATGATGATGATGATGATGATGATGACGACGTCGTAGCTGATAAGGTTGCTTGCATTTGCGATACAGGCACGGGCGTTATTAATAAGTTATTGTATTTGGAGGGAGATGTCCCTTCGTTTACATGGCACTTATCGCTAACAGACGTTGTGGCAGGTGCTGCACATGCGCCATCATTTACTTTAATTGATGACGGCGATGCAGAATGCAGATCAGCTGTGGTTATAGCCCCTGGGTTATTCGGACTTAGGCAATTAGTGTCAATTAAGGCACCAAAATGCTGCTCGTCATCAATACTTGAATTTTGTGGCGATTGAATTCTGCTTGCAAATACATCAGCAGTTATCAATTGATAAGTATTCGTGCCGGGAATCCTTATATATTGTAAACCGTTTAACGTGGTAATACTGGGTAAGACATCAGCTTGACTGGTGATAGTTGGTGATAATAGTTGCTGAGTATTATGCAAATATTCGTCTCCTTCATAATAACTAAGCGAATCATCGAATGGTTCATCTAACATGGGTGACATGGCCTCAAATTCATCCTTTATTATTGTAAAGCTATCTTCGCCGCTCGATGATGAGCGATTTTGTTCATTATTTCTTGGAAAATCAAAACCCAATAAACGTTCTAGTCCTCGTATATATTCCACAGCCATACGTAGTGTTTCCACTTTGCTAAGCTTTTTCCCCGAGCTGCGACTGTTGCTTTGCGTCTCGAATGCTTCAGCCACTTCATCAGGAATGCGTTCGCGTAATGCTGCAAAGCCATTGTTTACTTGTTTAACACGATTGCGTTCACGGGCGTTTCGTCGCGCGACCGCTTGAGGTAAAGGTAAACCTTTTCGGCCTGGTGTACCTGGAGGTTTAATTGTTATCATACCATTCGATCCTAATTTTGCTAAAGCCAATGAATTTTCCTTAGCCGATTTTTTAACTGCTTTCAAAGCTGCTTTCTCTTCTTTAGTTAATTTAGGCTTTTTCGATATACTGGGACTTAATTTCCCTAACGGTTTGCTTTGATTTCGAATAGATTTTGTTTCTTCTAAACTTCTCTTATGTACATTTACATTCAAGCTTATAGCTCCCAATGCATTATTCACCGAACCTATCATACCGAAATCTTTGATTTTACGCACAATGGCATTTGGACTTGGCTTCGATTCACCCGACGATGAATTGCTATTACTCTCACTTAATACATTTTGCACAATTATTTTATTAAAAGTTTTACTCAGAGAATTACTTGCATTGATGATTGTACTTGACATTTGTTGGCCATTCTTATTAACCTTCATGATTAAGCCAGGCGGTAAATTATAATTTAAAATACTTAAAGTAGCCATAAATTCATATGGCTTTCGTAAAAGCTTCTGTTCAAAAGATTAATGTTCTATACTGAAGCTTTAACGTTTTATGGGACTTTGGAATAGCGCTTTTCCTTTTCCTTTCTTTTTTTAAAGTTTGTTGTTTTCAGTTGAGCCGCTCGTTTACAACTAACGCACATATAATGTAATGTTACAAACTGAAGAGTGCAAGTTGGAAAATTGTTTGTTTGTTGCCGTATATGATGATGAACAGCTGCTTTGTTTTTTTTTTTTTTTTTTTTTTTTTTTTTTTTTTTTTTTTTTTTTTTGATGACGGTGTCGCGTGCCCGATGTCTTGCAATGAAATGTCATGGGGCGTCTCTTGCAACAAACGTCCTACGTCCTACCAACGGAAATGACTTTACTCTGACTGATGGCATATATACATATGTATATATATATACATATATAAAAATACTACAAAATTAATATACGGCAAAGGATATATACTTCAGTTGAATGCGCTCACATAGAACGCACACTGTGCTTACGAGCACGAAACGATCACATAATAAACATATATAAATATATATATATATTGTGAAGGGTGCTTTATTGCGCTCATACACTAACACGGAAATATGACAATATTTGTATTTGAGTCGATATTCTCACATACATACCGTTTTGGTTAGCGTTATTTGTGGTGACTTTTCATCCCCTAGGTTTTATTGGGTGTTTTTTTTTTTTTACCTTTCTCCATACGATCTTATTATTTATCAACTCTTATATACTATATTTTATATTCATATATTATAAAAATTTTTTGGAGTTTAATTCCTTTATTGTGTACTCTGCTTTACGCATACACACAAAAATTACTTACTTTACGGATATTCTCTCCTCTATATATCGAGTTGGGAAAACTAACATCTGATCATAAGGATTATAATAATGTATGTGCATTTAAATGCTTTTACTACCATAGGGGTGGATTATCAAAATTGCCGTTCGGTTTGAGTTTGAGCAAATACGTCCCTATTTACACATAACATATGAAAAAGATACACTCATATATATATGTATATATACATATATTTTACTGTATATATTTGTAAGTATTTTTATCTATCTTTGCCTTATTTCTATTGTTTTACTTCTTTTTGGTTTGCATTAAAAGACGTTTAAATATTGCGCCTTTTTAAGGACCTTCTTATTCTAGGTAATTAAATGAATAACTTATTAGAAATTTTCAATTCGCCTAAAATTCTAGTAAGTCTGTGAGGATTGTAAAGTTTCCTGCTATGAGTTATGAAAAATATTAAATAAAATTCTAATATCTTTATTATCGGCATTAAAGACGCGTATACTGAAACGTATTTCGAAAGACTAATTTCGTATATATGTGAAAGTGGGTAAAAATGCGTACATACATATATATAGAACTGTTGTAATGATCGATGAATGTTAATATCATATACAGCACATAATGAGATTAGCTAACTAATGAGCGATCGTAAGTTGTCTTCTCTCTCTCTCGATGGAGGATTTTAAGAATAGAAGAGCTATGTCCGAACCTGGCGGACATGGCATACTCTCTCATCCAAAGCGGTTGAAAAGGCAATTTTGGTTTGCTAGTATGCACCAAAAAATCCATAAGTCAATTCCTTCTTTTAATTCGGTCCGTTTTCTAAAAGAGACCATAAGTAATGGTGTAAGGTTTAGAATAAAACTTTGACTTGTTCATTTAAAACTACTATCTTGAAGCTATACGCAACTGTATAGATGATCAAATTGAACCGCATATAACATAGTCCCTGGAAGCTTTGAATTTGTGAGCACTTTTACTTTTCTTTCCTAATTCGAAAGGTAGATCTGCTAGATCTGCTTACGAGCGATAAACACTCGATACGTGACAATATCGAAAACTCAAACAATGAAGACACAAAGTATGTGAACCAATAACAAATGAAACCATCAGCAAGTACGACTATCAATAGTAACCGATACGATTGGTCAAAATTATATCGTGAGGAATGTATTCGCGCAGTTTGCCAAAATTCCATATCGTTGTAAATGAAATAAAATCACGGATTTGTCAAGTATTTATCTCTTCTTACATTTTCTTTGTCCCTTACGCTACTTCGCCGGTAAAAAATATATCAATTTTGTACTGATGATGTATGGCAACACATTCGAGATAGATAAAATTTCTGTTATATAAAGCGATTAGGAATCACTTTTGAATCGTTTTAAACATATTTCCCGAACTCTTGATTCGCTTGTTCACCTAACTATGCGTTCCATGTATTTCCATAGTGCTTTACATTCAACGAACATGTCGCAAATTTTGCGAATCATTCCGTTAAAATTTGAAGAGGTGCCATGACTTAACCCAGCTATGAACACTATTGAAATTGAACTGCATCGGCATATATTTTTACGGCCAATTCTCGCAGTAACCAGTGCCGTTTAAAGAACCCCTTACATGAAAATAGTTTGCTATTTTTAATATATCGCGACAAAGATGGCTGAAGCATATTATCGTGACTTACTCAATGAGTGAGAATGAGTGTGAGAAATATGAGTGGGGCGGATAGCCTCACTTATCGAATATGTTCCCATTGTTACATAAAAAAACGAAGCTTTTGTATAGCAACAGTGTCTAAATTTTAAATATTCCGTTACATATTTTTTTCGGATTGAATATCTTATATCATTGCACCAAGTTTGGATCATGTATATAGATCTATTTTTTGCATATCCTTCGCCTCAAAGATTTTACATAACAGGTGTAAGTCTTTACTTAGCAACAATGTACAATTTTTGTTATATTATGATGAAAACATATGAAGGATCGTCTAAGGCAATAGTCGACTTTGTCCAACTATAAGATTTTAATTTGTTTACATTAGAAACGTCAGCAAGAAAATCTTAAGGCAGATTATAAAATGAAAAAATTTAAATCATTGCCATTGTATAATAATCGATACCAATGGGACACAAATGGAAAAATTAGTTAAGGAACCGCATCATTTCAGTTTTTACTTTTCAATAAAAAAAAAAAAATGAAGCTTAAGGGAAGTGAATGCGGAATTATTCAAAAAAAAAAAAACAATTTTTAAAAATTCTCTCACAGTCGTTGAGCTCGATTTTCAGACCACAAAACCATAGATCATATAAATGTACACAACAAACACCATATGGTGTCATACGTGAATTTATTGGATAGGTACTTGTATGTAATACATTTAAAAATATATTGTATTGTTATTTATTAAATGTAGCAAATGAAAATTTTCATCATTTGAAAACTATTGGGTCGACTTTGCTCTAGCGTTTGCGAATTTAAACGATGCGTGTAACATTTTATTGTGATTGCGAAAGCAACTAATTTATTATTTTGTATAATTGACAATAGAATTGAATTGCATATTAACGTTAAACGTCTAAGAGCATAACGAATACTCTAATACCCTATAAATTCTTTCAAATTTTGAGTTTCACTATACTTCATAAAGCGACTTTTATTATACACATACTCGCAAATGATTCGCTTTTACGAAAATGAAATTGTGAAGACTGTGTCGCCATAGAACGATTGGCTTTTATGAGAGAGAACCTTATATAGAGTGCATTGTAAGACATGGATCTATGTGATCCAAATTACCTATGGCTGATTTACTAAGGCGAAATTTTCATTATATAGTATTAAAAATTAGATCTTTTCGGCATAAAAAATTTGATTTTTCGATAAAACTCTTATGTGGCTTGGGATTCAAGAAATAGACTCATTTAATCCAAACTTGCTAAGGTTAATCATTATATCAAACTATTACTCTCAATGAGTTTTAATCAAAACTTATTCAAAATTATGCTTTTTACGATATAAAAATTCAGTTTTCTTTGGAACGATTATATGATATGGGGTTCAAAATATTGCCTCCATCCGATTCAAAGTTTTCGCGTCGTTTTAAAATAACAAAATGCTATTATTAAGCGATTTTTTTTTTCTCCAAAATTCTAGGAATTACAATATTTTTTCATATAACGACTTATCAAAAGAGGGCGTTATATACGGGAAGGGCGAAAAACTTATGCGATCCCAAACATTTTCAATAGTATTCGTGCATGGGCCAAAATACTTCGGAATACCAAATTTCAACCCGTGGATTCAACACAAGAATGCATGGACAGACAGACAGACAAGGTGAGACCGACGGTGACTCGATCGGCATAATAAGGGGTGAGTCTATCTCAAGTCCTTTCGGGTGTTTCAATCGTCCGTACAAACTATATCACCAGTGATGTAAGGTACAAACACCATAGCTTAAATATCATTACAATTGAATATATTTTGCTTACTCTTATAATTAAAGTATGTGTGAATATCAATTAAAGAAATGTTTAAAAATGAAAAATAATATAAGTTTATATGTACATATATATACATATATATATATATATGAAAGGTGAAGTAAAATTTATAACTGATTTCCTTTTTTTACTTTTATTTAATTAGCTAAAAAGATTTAATTAAAAAGGATTTTTGTTGAATTTCCGAAGACAATCTAACAATATTTTCCCTTTTTTTTTTTTTTGTCTATCCTCTGATGGGATAAGGGTCTCAACAAGGATTTATGTTTATTTAGGCTGATGCTAAAGAAATCTTAGCAAGATAGGCAAAAAAGTTTCACTTTTTCCCAAATAACAATTATGGGGTGGATATAAAGGATGTGTGTACGTATGGATGTATGTATGTGCGGTATATACGGTGTGATAGGTATTGTATAAGTAACATTTTGTATTGGCTTTAAACCAAAAAATTAGGGCATAATGATTTAGTCGAATCTGTTGTTACTTGCCAAACAAACTTTAATTGGGGAAAAATTTTTCAACTAAAGCGTTTGCTTTAGATAGGAAGATTTCCCTTGTAATCGGACGTTTATTAGTTTTGACTTTTGCAAAACTTGCACTAAGCAAAACTTGTATTAAGGTAATGTGAAGAAAGTGGTCTTTGACAATAACATATATCGTCG